GATCCTCTTTGTCTTCTGCATCAAGCGGACCCAAACAATCATTCACATGCTCTGAAACATTGAGAATTAGGTGCCCGTAAGTCCCGCCGTGATTTTGAGGCAGATAGAACGGCCGAATTGCATCAGGCGGCTTCATTGGTCCAACAGCCCAAATGACATCCATACTTGCAGTATGATTGATCGGCACATCATACTTCTTATCAACGGTAACCAGCGGCCTTCGATACCGAACGAACGACACCCCATCTCTCCTATGCCCATAAATCAACCTAGTATTGTTCACCAAACCAACAGGATCTGAACCTTCGAAAATTGTATCCGGACAAACACCGTGCACCATACCATCCTTGTTTATCATACATTCACTGAGCCTTGTGATGTAGAAATCATCCACAAGCGGCACTCCATCCTCGTTGATCCCCATCACGGCGACATCCGCCCCAATCATGAGATTAGAACTCCCATTCGGGTTTGCCCACCCAAATGCCATGTAGTTCGTCGTCGGAATCGCCCCCTCCAGTCCGATCTCGATCAACTTATCCTGAGTACTCAATGTCCACCTAACCCTGTAGTTATCAGCCAAAACTTTGCAATTCTCGAACGAGGTGGGCGCAATAGAAATCGAACCCGTATCTTCCCATGGATTCCCATCTTCCGACGGAGACGGAGCCACACTGGGACTGCCCGCCGATCCATTATTCGGTTTCCGGAGAATAACATGTCCAAAATCTGATGCGGCAGGAAGGTCCCAGGCGGCGATGACTTGGATCTGATCCCATTTAACATTCTTCTTCAAATGCACAATGAAGGAAGCGTTTTTGTACGTCTCATTAAGCTTTTTATCAGACACGACAAACCCGGCCGTGAAATTATTAACATCAGGAGCGATCGCACCCCACCAGTGCACATCGGTCCCAGAAAGCATATCAAAATTCGAAACCCTAAAAGAGCAATCATCGATTATCCTAAAGGAACCTCTAAGTTGGTGCTGTACCATTTCAAATTCGGACTCGAAATCGACGAGAGGACTGGTTTTAGAACAACCAGATCCAGCATCCGCATAGTAACAAACAATCGAACATATCAAGATAAAACACCCAACGAAAATGGGTGTGTGATGCATGAGGACGAGATTGGGATCCAAATCGACTCACCCTCTCGCTAGGATTTAAAAAAAAAAACAAAAACACCTCTGGATCTAGATTCAACAATAGATATATATATCGAACTTTAAAAACGAAATGAATCAAAATTGTTCCATTACCAGAGATCTCGGACGGTGATAATGGATTCCCGATCGGAAATTCAATTGCAATTGCAAATGCAACAACTCAACAATCGAGGACGGTTTCTAGGCCGGGCCTTGGACAGCTTTTTTTGCTGGCACGTTGATCTTGGTTAGTGCGTTAAGCAATGGCAACAAATTCAAGATCGTGTACAAAAAATGTAAGTAATAAAGAAAAAATTCCATTCGTGGATTTTGATGCTTTGGTCTAAGTTCAGGGAATTGTTTACTAGCTGCAATGAAACGAACAACCAAATAAAAATTTAGAATTAAATATAATCGCTTGAATTAATAAAAATATAATTGAATTTTTTAATTTTTATTAACCATCTTTAATTTTTTAAAATTATCATTAAATTTTTTTTAAAAGGTTTAAAAATAGTATTTTAAATAAAATAATTAGTAATATAATTTTTTTTATAATTAAGATTATTTTTTTAAGTTTATTATATATATTTTTTTCAATTTGGACCAAAAACATATTTTTCCTCCCTCTGCACAATTTTTATTTAATTAAATAATAAAATTTATATCTCCGAGTATGGCTGTTCTCTCGATATCGATAATAACTTTGGTGACATTAAAGGTGAAACGGTTGATCGTCATCCTCACCGAACAAAATGACAACATCAGCTTCTTGCTCTACCAAATAACTTCAATGTCATGCTAGGTCGAAGACATGTCCTTTTGTAGCAACGGTCGAACTCGAAAAAATAATAAATATTTTTTATTAAAAAATTTAACAATTATATTTTTTTTAAGATGAAAAGTATTAATACAACTTTGTAAAAATTATTATTATTATTATTAAATTATTTATTTAAAAGTTAAGTTGTATTAATGAAAATATTGTGCGCAATTAATCCCTTATTTTTATGGGATAAATTTAGGGCTTATTCTACCCAAAATATTTTACATTTTAATGATTAGCAATTAAATACGTATTAAAAACACCATTTATAAGGGGTGGAAACCTTCCTCTTGCAGACGAGTTTCAAATCTTTGAGGGGAAGCCCAAAAGGAAAAGCCCAAAGAGGACAACATCTGCTAGTGGTAGATCTGGGGCGTTACAAATGGTATCAGAACTAGACATGATGTGCCAGCCTTCTCGCTGTTCCCTAAAGGGGTAGACACGAGGCGGTGTGTCAGTAAGAATGCTGGGCCCCAAAGGGCAGTGGACTCGATGGCGGATCGATTGGAGAAAGGAACGAGTGCCAGCGAGGACGCTGGATTTCGAAGGGGGTGAATTGTGATGTCACACATTGGTTGGGAGGAGAACAAAACATCATTTATAAGGGTGTGAAAACTTTCCCCTAACAGACGTGTTTCAAATCCTTGAGGGGAAGTCTGAAAGAGAAAGCCCAAAGAGGACAATATCTGCTAGCGGTAGATTTAGAGCGTTACAAATGGTATCAGAGCTAGACACCGGACGATGTGTCAGCCTTCTCGCTGTTCCCCGAAGGGGTAGACACGAGGCGGTGTGCCAGTAAGGATGCTGGGCCCCAAAGGGGGTGGACTCGGTGGCGGTCCCACATCGATTGGAGAAAGGAACGAGTGCCAGCAAAAACGCTGGACTCCAAAGGGGGTGGATTGTGATGTCCCACATTAGTTGAGGAGGAGAACAAAACACGTGTGAAAACCTTCTTCTAGCAAACATTAAAAAATATAACTTTTAAAAGTTTGAATAATATTTTAAACTAAAAAACTTTAAAATATAATTTAGTTTTTTTTTCTTCCACTCAAACCATATTCAAAAATTTTATTAATACCCTTAAATTAAATTTAAAAAAAAAAACTTTAAAAACACATTTTAATTTATGAAAAATACATATTTAAAATCAGTATTACGTAAAAAAATAAATGAAATTTCAAAAATAAAAAAACATAAAAAAATAATCTATGAAATGCAGATATATGGTTTTTGTCCATATATTGACGGTAAGAACTTTTGTGAATATATTTTTTTAGCATTAACAACTATAAAATAATGTCGGGTACTCAATTTGGATTTGGTTCGATTCCGTGCTTTAAGTTTAAAATATTCTTAAAAGAATTGATAATTACTACATAAGTTAATAATCATGTTGAGTAGGTGTCAAATCTTGAACATGAGACATTACAATATCATCAAAGCTCAGTTGACATACGTCAAACTTATTATACATTAATTAGAAACCAAATTAGATTCAACATGTCAGTTTTGAAACTATATCCGTTGAACAGGGGAAACGAATTATTCTTTATAAAAATATGGAAATTTCTCCCTAACAGACACGTTTTAAAATCGTGGGGTTGACGGCGATACGTAACGAACCAAAGAGGACAATATCTATTAGCAGTGGGTTTGAGCTGTTATAAATGGTATTAGAGTTAGGCACTGCAGTGTGCCAATAAAGATGCTGGTCCCAGGGAGTGAATTGTAAAATTACATCGAAGAGAACAGCGATTGAACTATTATAAAAATAAATATATATAACAAATAATATATATATATATATATATATATATATATATATATATATATATATATATATATATATATGCATTCATATTTATTTAGAGGGAAAGGAGCAGAATGTGGTTGACAAGGACAAAATAATGGGAGTCCCCTTCATGTGGGGATTTTATTTAATTATTTAGTTATTTATTAAATTGAATTATATATATAAAAAAAATACTTCCAATTTTTTTTTTTAATTTAAAAATAAAACTTTTATTCTTTCATCAGCAATATTATCGTGTATGGTACTAACCTAGCGGTATCTATGATGCATGCTGACACATCGACTTTTCATATATTAGATTGTTTATCGAAAACTCAAACATGGTGTTGACCTAGTAGTGACTAAGACGCATATCTTAATTACGTCTAAAATAACGATAGTTTGATACATCGACTTTTCATCAGTGAGATTGTTTGTAAAAAAATCGAACATGGTGCTAACCTAGTGGTAATTAGGATGCACGTATGATCTACGTCTAAAATAACGTTAGTTTGACATATCGACTTTTCGTCTATTAGATTATTTGTTGAAAAAATCGAACACAATACTGATATAATGGTGATTAGGACACATGTCTTGATTACGTCTAAAATAAAGACAATCTGACACATCGACTTTTCGTCTATTAGATTGTTTGTTGAAAAATCGAACACGTGCTAATCTATTGGTGAATAATAATTATTTAACTTATTTTAATTTACAAGCTTATTTTTAAATTATATTCTTTAAAAAAATATATTTTTGGAAATTGTATTTATTTCTTTAATTTCTCTATTGTGATTTTGAATTTCATATTTTTAAAGAAAATATTTAAATTATTAATAAAATTTAAAACTTTTTAATTTTAAAAAGCAAAGAAATTAATTCTCGCATTTATAGATTTATTTTTTAAAATTTTATTAAAAGAATATATTTTTTTTATTGATTGAGTCTTTAATATGCATATAAAAAATTGAATAATAATTATTCATTGATTTATTTTTAAAAAATTATATATAAAATTGTATTTCCTAAATTTTATCAAATAACTTACCATTTAAATTCTAATTTTTTTAATAATTAATTTATAATAAATTAGATATTAAATATTGAAAAATATTTCTATTTTTTCTTATCATCTAAATTATAACAATTTTGTATTATTTTATTTATTTTATTTAATGCCACAACTGATTTTTCGGTACGCCATTTTTTGCCGCTAAAGTTGCCAACTCTTTTCTAGTTCTGAGCAGAGTGTGAAGCTCTGCAAAAACCAAACGAAATTTTTCAAGGAGATCGAAGAACGGAGCAAAATCAAGGCAATAATGCATTTCAATGTTCTTCTTCTTCTTCTTCTTCCTCTGGAGATTCCTCGCGGTGTTCTTCTCTCTGCAATCTAGTTTCAGAAGCAGTTTCCGGTTTCCGATATGGTCAAGTGTGAAAGAAACAATGTCGGATCTGTAGTTTTTGACCGAGTTTCCACTTCCACTGCCGCTTGCGGAAATTTTCGCCTTCGTACGTCATTCTCCGCTGCTTCATTCCGTAAGAAGATTTTCGACGCTGTAAGTTGTAGCGGAAGTTTTCGCTATTGTTATCACCACGACGGCGATGGTACTGTTGCCTCGGCGATTAAACCGGCGTCCGAGATTGTGAATGAACGGAAGTCGGTGAGGCCGAAGCGGTCCAATGCGAAGTCGGAGAAGCTGTTGGATCTTCTGAGGTTGGAGTCATTTCAGGAATCGAAGCAGGAGATGGAGGAGGAGGAGGAGGAGGAGGATCTGGAGGAGTTCATATGCGTGGTGAAGAAACTGCAGGATGATGATTTGGTGAAGAAGAGAGCTGCTGCGAGTCGAGTTAGGTTGCTTGCAAAAGAAGATGCAGAAGCGAGAGAGACGTTCGCAATACTCGGAGCCATTTCACCGCTGGTTGGAATGCTTGATTTGGAAGACGATGAATCTAAGATCGCCTCGCTTTATGCATTGCTCAATCTTGGAATTGGAAACGATATGTAAGTTCTCTTTTTCATTGGAATCTTCCGATTTTGAATTGTTTATTGCACTTTCTTCTCTCCATTTTCTTGATTTTCACATGTTTTACTTAACGCGCGTTTTTTTAATCGGTTGTTTTTTTGTTCTTTCTTTCTCTTTCCTAATCTCCATGTGTTCTTCATTCTGCGTGGGATTTGTGATTATCCAGTTTCCTATATTTTTGTTTGGGTACTGAGGAGTCACTTTCAGTATTCTCTCCAACATGTTTCTGCGATTTTTTGTTTTATTGATGCTTTCTATTCCAAGTTCTATAAACTTCTGAATCCATTGTGATTTTCTCCAGTGACTGATATGTGGATGCCCTTGATGTCCTTGTTTTGTCTTAATTCCCCTACCACATGATAATCTTTTTTTTTTAATCTAATTTACATACATAGATTGACAACTTTATTTCTGAAATTATGAGTTCTTAGGATTTAGTTAATTGGTTACCCTCTTTGCAGGAACAAGGCGGACATTGTCAAAACAGGTACTGTTCACAAAATGCTTAAGCTGATCGAATCTGATAATTCCATAAATCCATGTGTCTCCGAAGCCATAGTTGCAAATTTCCTCGGCTTGAGCGCATTAGATACCAACAAACTGGTAATTGGGTCATCAGGTGCAATTCCTTTCCTGGTGAAGAACTTATACGACCCAGACAAAAAAGGTAGCTCACAAGTCAAACAAGATGCTCTACGTGCGCTTTATAACCTCTCTATTTTCCCATCCAACGTTCCATTTATCTTAGAAACCAAGTTGATCCCATTTCTTCTAAACTCGATGGGAGACATGGAAGTCAGTGAAAGAGCTCTCTCTATTTTAAGCAATGTGGTATCAATCCCAGAAGGCCGAGAAGCCATAAGCACTTTTCCAGATTCATTTGCGATAGTAATTGATGTATTGAATTGGGGTGATTCGCCAGGGTGCCAAGAGAAGGCCTCGTATATTTTAATGGCAATGGCGCACAAATCTTATCGTGATAGGCAGGCAATGATTGAAGCTGGGATTTCATCCGCTTTGTTGGAACTAACTCTTTTGGGCAGTACGTTGACTCAAAATAGGGCCTCGAGGATATTGCAGATTTTGAGGGTCGATAAAGAAAAAGAGATATGTGATTATGGTTGGAATTCTTCTGCTCGAATTTGTGGTGGTTCATCTTCTTTTACAAACCCAATTCTTGGTTCTGCAGAAGTGGAAGGATTGGATGATTTGGTGAGTGAAGAGAAGAATGCTGTGAAGCAATTGGTGCTGCAGAGCTTGCAAAACAACATGAGGAGAATCGTTAGGAGAGCGAACTTACCTCAAGATCTTGTGCCTTCTGATCATTTCAAGTCCCTCACATCAAGCTCCACTTCAAGAAGCTTGCCGTTTTGAGTGCCTAACTGCTCGATAATTCTGAAGTTAGTCGTCTCTCTTCATAAATCCATTTATCTTGTGCAGTTTGTTTTTTTTCTTTTTCTTTTTCTTGTGGGTGTTATTTAACTAGCCTTATTGTTCATCATAAAGTTAATTCGACTCATTGTTTATTATAAATTTAATATCACAAATGTATTTAGGATTTGTTTAATAATTTAGGTTAAATATATGCTCTAGTTATCATTGTTATGATGTTTTTGCAATTTAGTTTCGATGGTCTAAAAAGTTTTAATTTGGTCCTATTGGCCAATGGTATGAGCTTACATCATATGCTATTTAATTTCTAACACCATTTTAGAGGAAGATCTGAAACATTTCATCTGTTTTGTAGCTTTGTTCTCTTCTAAATTTGCATGACAATGGGAAATACGTCTTTATTACAAGTTATCTTGTTCTCCCAATAAGTTTAGGTTCATAAAATCAGAACCATACCAAATGGGGAATAGAATTTAGTGATAGAACATAGTCGAGGACTCTTGGAGATCCCAATTATTCTTTCTTGTTCCTCATATACATCACTGGCCCCGTAGAATTTAATATTAGCAACACTGGTACACATATTTCTCTTACAAACATTATTTTTCCTCCTACAAAGTAGAAACCTGAAAATGCTATTTATTTATTTTCCTTGAACTTGGAAGGTGTAGCTGAAACAGGTACTGTTCACTGCCCCTTCTTGTCTCCTTCCAACATCTTTGCCTCTTTCTCTCCAATATTTTACTCTCTATCTCAGGATCTTCTATAACATTTCTTAAGAACTTTATAAACATGATAGGATTTGAATTATACTAACAAAGCTACATTATATTTCTTCTTCAGGAATGATGCAGTTTTCCTTGTAAACGATGATGCGAGCTGTAGAGGTAACATCTCTACTGCAAATGTAGCATTATGCTACAGTGCTTTTAATTCAATATAGATTTTGAAAGTTGATCTCTGCAACTTCTTTATTTTCATTTTCAACTTTTGGGTCTCTTTAACTTTGGACTAGCTAGCTATTCTATAGGTCTTCTGCACAAAATCAAGTTCTAACTTTCCCCAAAGATGTGATATATTTATTAAAATGAGGTGCTGCAATTGCTTTGTTGTTAAACCAAAAGTAGCTGGGACTTGCAATAAACAAGGGGAAGGAAGTGGAAGGTGTAGGCAGTAAATGTGTTTGAGAATTATTTGAAAATGACACCCTCTCCCTGTGCCTCTAGTGGTCTAGCAACAATAATTAGAATTATTTGGAAATGCACCTGTTTGACAATAATTTTTCTAAAATTAGTATTATTAAGTAACTTCATACCACTTTCATTTATTGTCTATCACGTTAACAGGAGTATGATACTTTCATTTATTGTCTATCACGCTAACGGGAGTATGATACGTTGATAGGCTGAGAATAACTTGTGTGTCTCTCTCAATTCTTTTTTTATTTTCATTGGGGATTTGATGTGTGAAGTAATGAGAATTATGATCGGTTGTTGAGTTATTTATGAAGGTCTTATCTCGAACAATGAAGATGGAATGAAAATCCTCCTGAATATCAAGTGGGTGGCACTTTGAGTCTTAGAAACCATATAGTTACCTGGACATTGATTTTTATTTAATTTTGATGTTCATCATCTTCAGCTGCTGCTGCATTTGGAACTTTAAAGCTCCGGGTGCTTATTTGCTTATACTTAATAAATGGTGTCTAGTAGATTTGTGTTTGTGTTGCGTTGTCCGACAGCGATTGTGTGGGGCATTACAATTTGTGAAATCTTAAGGATGTTTCTTTGGACATTGGATCTAATTTAATTTTCATATCATATTTGTTTCCAAACTGGAAAAAATAAATTAATTAATTTTTTAAAACTAAAAAAGTCAAAGGCTATCAAGTGAATATTTAATGGAAAATAAATGTTTCTCAACTTTTGGAAGATTATTTATTAAAACCCATTATTATTTTTATGTTAGTCATTGTTTAATTGTTTCTGTGATTTTTTACTATGCTTGCTTGAATTAGAAAAAAATGATTTTTTATTATTTTTTATTTTTTATTTTGAACTAAAATTGATATCTAGTAAGCATTTTATTTATGGATGATTTTAGTCACAAATATTGGCATAAACCATTAATTTATATCAAGATTATGTGTTTTTTCAAATTAAAACTTGCATGAGATGAGTGAATTTAAAATATTTACTGTTTTTCAAAAAATAATTTAATAAAAATGACAAAAAGGAAAACATTCTCTCTTGAAACGTATTCATTAGTAATTATACTTAAATTAATTAGAAATAGAAAAGAAACACTTTCCTTAAATGAGACTTGGAAACTAATAGCCTTCCCCTTCCCTTTTTCTTGATTCCTCCCTCCAAGAAAGAAAAGCTAGATTCCTCTCTTTCAAGAAAGAAAAGCAAAATTGTAACGACCCAGATTCACCTAGATTCTTCTCTTCAAGAAAGAAAAGCAAAATTGTAACGGCACAAATTCACCTAGATTCTTCTCTTCAAGAAAGAAAAGCAAAATTGTAACGGCACAGATTCACCGCTAGCAGATATTATCCTCTTTGGACTTTCCCTTTCGAGCTTGCCCTCAAGACTTTAAAACATCTGCTAGGGGAAGATTTCAATACCCTTATAAATGGTGGTTTGTTCTCCTCCTCAACCAATATGGGACATCACAATCCACCCCCTTCGAGGCCAGCGTCCTCACTGGCACTCTTTCCTTCCTCCAATCGATGTGGGACTGCTCCCAAATTCACCTCCTTTGGAGCCTAGCATCCTTACTGGCACACCGCCTCGTGTCTACCCCCTTCGGGAAACAGCGAGAAGGCTGGCACATTGTCCGATGTCTGGCTCTGATACCATTTGACCGAGATCCACCGCTAGCAAATATTGTCCTCTTTGAACTTTCCCTTTCGGACTTCCCCTCAAGACTTTAAAATGAGAAGGTTTCCACACCCTTGTAAATGGTGGTTTGTTCTCCTTCCAACCAAAGTGGGACAAAAAAAAAAAAAAAAATCCTTGATATATGAATTAATTTATAGTAATTAAAAACAATTGGCCGAGGCAAAAGACCAAACTGCCCTGGCAAGGAAGAGGAGGTGATTGAAAGTGGACGGTTCTTTTCATTAAATATCAGTTTCCCCCCAGAGTTGAACTATATTATCCAAAATACAGGATGTCACTGTAACATACCCTATCAATGAACAGCAGCAATCTATGGAAGACTTCATCCACATTTCTTTAAGTAATAATGATCAGCTCAACTTCATGTAAAACAGGCAAACAGTCTCTCAATATTTCAAGAACCTAGAAGTAGCCTGATTTTGAAAGTTAATACATTGTTATCTCACCAGAAAGTTTCTACTTCGTCTCGGTGATTGGGAGGTAAACGCCCTCGGCAGCTAACCAGACGTTGTCAGCTCGCTTTTCTCGGACTCCACAGACCTGTAAAGCCATATAAAATGGTTAGGAGTTCTCACTTCCAAATCACTATCATTTGTTTGTTGTTCTCACCTCCTGCTGCCCTCCGGCTATGCGGCTGTACTTCTTGTCATGGCTGTGTAGGTAGCCATTGGTGTCGACGTGCTGAAGCCGAACTCTCTGTTCTTGCTTCCATGTCTTCCCACTCCCTTCGATCATAAGCCTATTGAATTTTGCAGGTGAGGAACCATTCGTTCGTATCGAGATGCGTAGTATACATTTTTCAAAGAAAATTATTGTCTCACCTCCAGTAGTCCCCAGTGTCGGAATCAGAATCTCCACCAAAGCAGCTGACCTGCACCAAGCAGAGTCTAGAACCGTTATGGAGCATAAAAGCCATAATTAGGATTTGAAATCAAAATTGTCATGTCTAATGACCATATATTAATGGAAAGTTGGAAAGCATGACCAGAAATTGGATCCAAAATCCTCATATCCCCCAACCATATACAATGAGGTATGCATATGGAATAAGCCAATTGCAAAAACAAGTCCAACAGAAAACATGTCATCATAATGACTGGGAAAACTTTGATATCGTTCAAAATAGAAAAAGTGATTCAGAACTAAAAAAGACATGGCATGAATGTCTTGTAAAGGAAAGCGTCATAAAAAACGAAATGATAATAATGTCATACTATAAAGTTAAATTTTGAAATGCATTTGTTACGCAAAATATAATGGCGACCAACCTCGACTTGGTTTCTTCCGGAAATTCAAGAACAGAATCTAGCATAGGGCAAAAATTTATAAATGCAGAATGAAATACTCAACCAACGATTCTTAGAGCTCGTGAATGCCAGAAATATAGTACATGTACATTGAAACGAACAGAACATTCTCCAAACAGATGAGGCAGTCATATACTAGAAAAGTTTGGGCAGGTAAGAAAAGATGAGGAAAGCACATATTAGTTCTACAAAATGTATGATCCACTATGACTTTCGTTAGTAACTAATAACTGAATTCTCAGGAATATAATCCCAAGTTCAACATGCATCGCAAACAGATTAACTTTCTACCTCCATGATGCAGAAACAATGTCGAGCTCAATAAATGCACTTGAAGAATGGCAGCGTTGAGCTTATATTATTAATTCAATCACCGTGAAGTAAAACCGAAAGCAACCAAAAAAATTCAATACAAGAGGAACATCACAGCAGCAAGCAGATAATATAAAGAGATGAAATGCAATCGACGCATGTGAGATTATCCAGTCCTCAAAAGAATTGTTAAATGTGAAATACACAATTCAATAACCTCTAGGTTTCCCGATATTGGGGATGCATGCAGGTGGCTGTGCAGCCATTTCCTTGTTTTCATGTGTTGCAATCTGATAATTGTTCCACTTTTAATGGTGTCTCCCTGTTTTGCAGATGTCCCAGGCTGAGGTCTTACAATCTGCCAATGATAAACTTGTTACAGTTGCAACCGAAACACGAAAATACTAGAGGGGGAGAAACAGATGACAGCTTTTGTTCCACATGGAAATGTGGAACGAGTAAAATTGCAATGGGAAGAGATTTACCCAGTAGCTATTGGAATCGTCAACATTTGGAAAACCGGTGACCGACTGTTGCCCACTACCAGAACCATAAGGCACGTCGTGGGAATGCAAACGGAATTTAGTTTTCTCGTGCATTAGCTTTAGCACTGTCCCATAAGTAATCTGTCAAACAAACATACCAATCAATATATCAACTCCAAGTACAAGATTCACTTACCCAATTCAAGCTTTGTTCAATAGATTAGGATTAAAAAATTACAGGAAAGAAAAAAAAATCATTATCTGCTTAAGAGATGGATTCATGTACACTTTTCAGTGAAAAGAAAAAACCAAGCGATTTCCATCGAATTTTCTATCTGCGTTTGAGAAGATTCCGAGTGCTTCACACTTCTAAGTTCAATTCCAATCTATATTGCCGTTTTCCTCACTCATCAATAATAATATCTTTCCTCGTCCATTTCATTTGATCACTCCTACGCCAAGCAGGAAAATCCCAAGAGAAAATCCAAATCTCCTTAAACGACGGCTTCCCGCACATTTTTAAGCAAATGAAATACGAGGTTGAAAAGTTAAAATTGATTTTCAATGTATCATCTATCTACCTCCTTTTAGTGATCTTTTTTCATCTTTCATGATTTATAGTTCAAATGGAATCAACATTGTCGATTTACTAAAAAACTTAATCATAAACTTATAATCAGATTCCAGTGCAAAAGAATCGATGCAAACACGAACAAATCGCTTAACAAGGTTAACAGATTCAAACCTCAACGCCCTCGGAGGATGACGCAGCAGAGGCAGACGACAGAGAGCCATGGTCGAGATCAAGACCGAGGAAGAGAAACAGCGCAAGAGCGAAGAAACCGATAGCCATAACGAAAAGCAAGGCGATGAACCAGTTACGCTGCCAGAAAGGCAAATCGGAATGCGACGGCGAAACTCTCTCTCTGTAAACGATCCTCGTCGGCGTTGACGGCGGAGGAGAAGCGGAAGACGAAGGTTTTCTCCGAGACAAACCTGAGGACCCTGAAGAAGCCACGGTTGATCGGAAGAACTCGCCAAAACCAACGACGTGAATAACGAAAATGGAAGAATTTTGCAATTTCGATTTTGAGTTCGATCGGTGGAACTCAAAATTAGATTTAAATAATTAATTAATCCTTTTTTTCTTTACGAAGTCACGGAAATCGAAGTAAATTGGGTTTTCGACGTGGTTTGGGTGACACGTAAGAAACCTCTGTTCTAGCCAATTGAAAGCCTACACGTGGCATTTGGATGATGTGGGCTGTTTTTATTGGTTGGAATTGAGTCTTCTCTCCGGTCTCTGGGAAGCTTTGTCGACACTGACGTGGACTTGTTGACTTTGACCTAAACACAGTTAGTTAAATTAAAAGTTGTGTTTTATTATGTAATTGGACATTATTTATAAAAATAATAATATTTATTTAATTTTATAATTATTTTTTCTCCAATATCTTTTAAAAAAAAATTATCTATTTAAAATATAATTTTTTAAAATATATTGAGTTACAAAAATTAATTAAAAATTTAAAAATAAATAATTAAATGTTTTACCAACTTGAACCAACCTAACCCAAAAATTTTATGGTTGGGTCGAATTATTATATAGTAACAGTTCCAACAATTGGATCTAAAAAATGTCTCAACCGATCCGAGCATCCTTAGTTTGAACCTCTAATTTTTTTATTTATCAAAAAAATAATTATTTAATGTTAATAAACTTCGTGTCGTTATGAAATGATATATGGCAATAGGAATGATAGTATCGGGAAAACTTTCCTA